CGTTGCAGGCCGCGCGCACGCGGCTTTCCCGCCTCCCGCGACTAGGGCAGCCCAGGCTCCCGACCCCGGCCCAAACCCTCCCCTCACAGCCCCCACGCTGTCTGGTCAACTTCGTACCTCACGAGCTTCATTCTAGCGGCGCCGTCACCTTCGGGGTCGGATAGCGCCCAGAAACCAACTACGGAGGACCGACCGACTGGACGTATGAATGGCCGGAAACGCCTACCGCAGGAGCTCCAGACGTAAAGAGCGCGCGGAGCGCTGCAGACGCACGCCGGAAGTGCCGAGGCCTCGGCGGGCCGCACTCCCTTCCGGCCGCGAGGAGCGCGACTGCGGCCCCTGGCGGCTGGAGGTTGCATTGCGACTGCTGAAAGCATCGGGGGCTGGTCTAGGAGGAAACTTCCTGCAGTGGAGAGATCTGAAGAGATTAAATCCAATCAATAGTACTGTCACCATCACGCTTCGGCACAGCAGGGCATCTTTAAAGAAGCATCAAATATAACTTCCTCAATGAACGAAGAGAAGTTCTGAGACAAGCCCAAAGGATTATACTAACTCTGTTCCAACAGCAGGAATCTTAGCATGACTTAATGTAGCTGAAGAAAATCACCCAGTTTAACTGATTATGTTCACTTTACATTCTCCATGACACACTTTTCAGTCTTCATCTTACTCAACATCTCAGCAGAATTTAGCACAAATGCTCCCTTTTTGAAACACCTTCCTCCTTTGGCTTCTAGATTGCCAAGTGCTCCTACCCACACTCTGAGTCCCCTTGCTGACTCATCCTTTCCTGTGGAACCGATACATGTTGTAGTACATCTGGGCTTACAGTTGTAGCCTCTTTATGGATATTTTCCCCCTTAGTTTTAGGTAATCAGCAAATCTATTGCTTTAATTTGTATTTCCAGTCCAGGTTTCATCCCTAATCACCAGATGTTGTAAGGTAATGCTCATCAAAGTTTTATGTTCAGAACTCACCTGGAGAAACTTTAAAAGGAAAATTCTGATTCAGTTGTTGTGGGGCCTGAAATTCTGCATTTCTAACTAGATTGCGGTTGATGAAGGTGCCCCCATCATTCCATGGATCACTAATGGAGTAGGAAGGCTGTAATGGGCATTTGTGTGCAGTCTTCTCAACGTCTATGCCCGTGTCTTTGCAAGAGCTCCTAATATTCTTCTGATGATCCTAGTGGTCCTAAGGAAGCTGACTCTACCCAATCTTAGGACAGAGTTTTTAAAAAACGAAAACTGGCCGAGTTCGGTGGCTCAGTCTGTAATCCCAGCACTTTGGGAGGCTGAGGCAAGAGGATTGCCTGAGCCCACAGGTTCAAGACCCGCCCGGGCAACTTGGCAAGACCTCGTCTCTACAATAAATAAAAAAAAATTAGCTGGGTGTGGTAGCGCACGCCTATACTTCCAGCTACTTGGAAGGCTGAGGCGGAAGGATTGCCAGAGCCCAGCAGGTTGAGGCTGCGGTGGCCAGGAGCGGCCACTGCCCTCCAGTCTGGGTAGACAGAGTGAGAGTCCAACTCAAAAAAATAAATAAATAAAAAATAAAAAACGAAAACCTGCTGCCCAGCCATCAAAAAAAATATTTTAAAATTAGGCATGGTGAGGCTGGGTGTGGTTGCTCAAGCCTGTAATCCCAGCACCTTGGGAGGGTGAGGTCAGAGGATTGCCTGAGCCCACGCGTTCGAGACCAGCCTGGCAACTTGGTGAGACCTCATCTCTACAATAAATCAAAAAATTAGCTAGACATGGTGGCACATGCCTGTAGTTCCAGTGGAAGATTGAGATGGAAGGATCATCTGAGCCCAGCAGGTCGAGGCTGCAGTGGCCATGAGTGTGCCATTGCACTCCAGCCTGGGTGACAAAGTGAGACTCCAACTCAAAAAAAAAAAAAAAATTAGGCATGGCTGTGCACTAGTTATTCTGGGGACTGAGGCAGAAGGATTGCTTGAGCTCAGGAGTCTGCGGCTACAGTGAGGTATGATATAAGCACTGCACTCCAACCTGGGCAACAGAGCAAGGCACTGTCTCTGAAAAATAAATTAGCCAAGTGCAGGCCTGTAGTCCCAGCCTCTCAGGGTCCCTTGAGGCCAGGAGTTCAAGGCTATCCTGGGAAATATAGCAAGGCCCCTTTCTCTAAAATCTTTTTAAAAATAAAAGCCGGGCTTGGTGGCTCAGCCTGTAATCACTCGCTTGGGGAGGTTGGGGTGAGTGGATTGCCTGAGCCCGCGGGTTCGGGACCCGCCTGGGCAACTTGGTGAGACCTTGTCTCTACAATAAACCAAAAAATTAGCCATGTGTCGTGGCACATGCCTGTAGTTCCAGCTACTTAGAAGGTTGAGGCAGAAGGATCACCTGAGCCCAGCAGGTTGAGGCTGTGGTAGCTGTGAGTGTGCCACTGCACTCCAACCTGGGTGACAGAGTGAGACTCTGACTCAAAATAAATAAATAAATATAATTTAATAAAAAATTAAATAAAATAAAAAATTAATTTTCTCAATAACCACATTTTAAGTACTCATATATGGTGGTTCTGGCTACCTTTTTGAACAAGGCAGATATAAAATATTTCCATCATTACAGAAAATTTGATTGGACAGTGGTGCTTTTTTTATTACCAATTGTTTCTTTCTTAGCATTTAATTATTTATTTACTTATTATCTGACACCAAAATGTAAGCTATCTGAAAGCAGGAAATTGGATTCAATTGAGCTTATCAAGCTTATTCTCTTCTCCAGACTTTTGTACATGCAGTTTGTGAATCTAACACCTACTCGTCCCCTTTCCAGTATGTGGGGCTGTCATTATTGCTTGTATGTGTTAATGATGTTTTCCAGATGGCAAATCGAAATGTCACTGTCAGTTGATTGATACCTAATTGCTATAATTTTTCTTTATTTTCTAGCTTGAATTTTTTAGAATTTTTTGTTTTTACTCTCATAGTATAAAACCATCAAGAGGCCTGAAATAAAGTCAACAAGAATGGAAAAACAAATAAAGGCCTTTATTTGCTACTAGCAGAAAGATGAGTCTGAAAGTGAGATTGTCCTGTCCTCTGTGATTTAGCAGAGGTTTTATGTGTCACAGGTGTTTAGATTGGTCACAAGAAAGGAAGAAGGAAATGAGAATGTAACATGTGGAACAATGCAACTCTTTGATAATTAGTTTTTAGAAGATGGTGTTCTAATGATAAGCAAGTGCAGAAAAGTACATTCTGCAGTTTGGAGTCAGCAAGCGACATAAGTCCAGAAGATTACATTCACAGGTTTTTTTTGTTTTTTTTTTTTTGAGTTGGAGTCTCACTCTGTCACCCAGGCTGGAGTGCAGTGACACACACACAGCCACCGCAGCCTTGGTCTGCTGGGCTTAGGCAATTCTTCCACCTCAGCCTTCCAAGTAGCCACAGACGCATGCCATCACACCCGGCTAATTTTTATGATTTATTGTAGAGACGAGGTCTCACCAAGTTGTCCGGGCTGGTCTCGAACCCCCAGGCTCAGGCAATCCTCTAGCCTAGGCCTCGGAAAGTGCTAGGATTACAGGCTGAGCCACTGCGCCTGGCCATGTTCACAGTTTTGAGTCTAGCAAGAGAAATATAGGAGGGTCTTGCAATTCTTGTTGTAGTGGGTGTAGATAAGACCTTCACCATATGTAGAACCATAATGTTGGGCACCAAGATTTCTCATCTGAGTAACAGCATTCATTTATTTCTAGCTTGAACACATGGCAAAGCTGAACCAATTAAAGCTCTCCCCCAGGACTCTCAAGAGCTCTCTGGAATGGGGGCCTCTCTTTTTACTGGAACCAGTCTGCTGTGAGCTTATATAATATTTGCTGAGTTGTCAGTTGAACATACACGAGAATAAAGCTAATACAGATAGATGAAAGAGGAGCTGAGTATTGTAGAGTATCCTGCTGACATCATCTGACATCCTCAGGTTTCAGGGTGACTTGAGGTCAGCGGCTCCCCTGTGGCTTCCAGTTATGGTAGCAATAAAATCTTTTGTAAGAATGTTGTTTCTATTAGTGTGAGCTGGATTTCAGTCATTTTCATACTAAATTCGAACATTTCATTCGGATTATCAAATGCGTCTTTCTTTTTCTAAGTTGAATATCTTCCTGTACTTATCTGAACAAATATCATCTTGCGAGTCCCAGACTGCTTCTGAACTAAAACTTGTTTTTCTTCCTTTCAATTGTGATCCTTCACCAGTTCAGTGCTGGGCTTTTCACCTGCTGAATTTTTTTCTTTCCTGGAAGAGATGGAAAGCTCAGTCAAGGAAGAAATTTAAATAATAATAGGTTATTATTTAATCTGGTCATGATTGTTTTTTAGTGGACAACCCAATTTTTTGTTTTTTGAGTTGGAGTCTCACTCTGTTGTCCAGACTGGAGTGTAGTGGCTCGCCCCCGGCCCCCCCAGCCACAACCTGCTGGGCTCCAGCGATCCTTCCACTCAGCCTTACAAGTAGCGACAGGCACATGCTACCACGCCCAGATAATTTTTGACTTATTGTAGACATGAGGTCTCCCCAAGTTGCCCGAGCGGGTCTCGAACCCACGGGGTCAGGCAATTCACTCACCTAGGCCTCCCAAAGTGCAGGATTGCAGGATGAGTCACCGAGCCCGGCCGGACAACCCAATTTAATGAACCAAATTCCAAAGTTCACTGACAGAATGGTCTAAAAGAACACTAATGACAGAAGGAAAAACAAAGATACTGTGATATTACAGAGCAACTAGGATTTGGTTAGACTACAGATGGAGACCTGGCACGAGTGGATCCGAAGTGGTCCACTCATGGTGATGTCGGGAACGGCCTCACCCACCAACACCCCTCGTTTTGGTTTTGAGCCACAAAAATCTCCCGGCCTAAACCGACAGGCAGCTCACTAAAGTTTTGTGGAAGACGGATTGTCAGAAAAACGTTAGGCTTGACAAGTTTAGGGCACATGTTGGTTGTACTTGGCCTCAATCAAGGAGGGCAGGAAGGGGATTAGTCATGTATGGTCACCTCTTCCCATTTTGAAAGGGACAAGTACTGATTTAACTGTCTACACAGTGCTGCAAATAAGGAAAAAAAGGAGCACGGAAAGTGTGTTCTACAGTGGTGTGGAAAACATGACTCCAAGTGATGGAACCCTGGATCCTGTCTCTAGAGGCCTCGGTTCAAACCCTCGCCCCGCCTACATCTATAGCGTCTTACGAGCGCTGGTGCCCGGGTGCCTGCGACCTCGCATTTTTTTTTTTTTTTTGAGTCAGAGTCTCACT